ATTTCTCAAACTCTGTGAGGTATGTTGGTGGTAGTCTGATAGGGATTGCATTAAATCTGTACAGCAGTTTTGGGAGTATGGCCATCTTCACAATGTTGGTAAAAATATTTTTCTTAGGAACATGATGGAGCACTTAAATGTTGATGGAGATCTGATTTGAAATTTTTGTTTGAATGGTAGTTGTCATAATAGCCATCTGTGTTAAGTCAATAAAACAAGTTGAGACCGAGGTGTGGTGTGGTATGGTGTAGTGTGGTGTGTGGTGTGGTGTGGCGCATGCCTATAATCCCAGCATTCAAGAGGAGGCTGAAGCAGGGGGATTGCTGTGAGTTTTAGGTTGGCTTTGGGCTACACAGTGAGTTCAAGGCCACCCTGAACTATACAGTGAGGTGAGACCCTGTCTCCAAAAAAAAAAAAAAAAAAAAAAAGTGGTTCTTTTGGGTTTTTTTGTACCTGGCATTGAACTCAGGACCTTATGCTTGCCGGGGCACTTACGCTGCTGAGCTATCTCCCCACGAGTTGCGTTTAGGTGAATCTTAGGATACTGACCATAAGCCAGACACAGGCTTAAGCTAACTATCACAAATGTAGTTGTAGTTAGAAATTTGAGATGGTTGGTTAATATCTTCCATTTTTCCAGTTAAAGCAGTTTACCTGTTTAGTGTAAATTTTGAAACAAAGAATATATGTGAAAAAAATACTAGCGTAAAATGGAGTTAGTGACTGATTGTCTCAAATATGAAAAGAGACACAGACAGACAGACAGACAGACAGACAGACAGACAGACAGACAGAGACAGAGAAGTAACCGGGGTCATTGCACTGAATTACAGCCCAAGACATTGTGTTTCTTTAAAAAAATTTTTTTAAGACAAGTCCTGCTGAGTTGCCTAGGCTGGGCTCATAACTTGTCATCTTTGTGCCTCAGCCTCTCAGAATGCTGGGATTACAGGCATATATCACCATGCTAAGTTAAATATTTATTTTATAAAAACCCACAGTATAGTAACAGGTATTTTGGAAAAACTACAAAAGTTTACATGACAAATTTTTGTGCTTTTAAAGGTTTTTTTAAAATTTTATTATCTAGAATAATAATACAGAGTGAATGAAAGGGAAATATAGATTGAATTTTACAAATGATTCTATAGAACTTTTCATGTACTTGTTTTTGCAAATACTACATACAGGATGAAAATTGATGTTTGCTATTTGAATTATAGAGGTTTTGGATAAAATCATCACTTAATTTTGGTAAAAACATTATTGCAAAAAAATTGCATTTTAAAAAATTTAGATAGTAGTTATTCAGTCATTAGTTAACTAAATTTATACTTTTACTATAGGCTGAGGCTGGAGGAGCACATCAAATCTGAGATTATCCAGAACAATGTAGTGAGACCCTGTTTGAAAAAATTAGTGGAGGGGCTGGTGAGATGGCTCAGTGGTCTAAAGCACCTACTTAGAACAAGCTTAGCAAAGCACAGGGACCGCGGTTCGATCCCCCAGCACCACATGCCAGCCAGCGCCGCCCCCTGGTGGGCTGAGCTGGCCACACACACACACACACACACACACACATACAATAAATAAATAAACTTTAAAAAAAAAAAAAAAGAAAGAAAAAATTAGTGGAGAGGTGTTGGGGTCAGTACCCAGTATCACCCTGCCCCCAAACTCCCAAATATTTATGAAGTTTGTGAATAAAAAACTCTTTCACAAATATCATTGTAAACCAGTTGTGTGATTTTAGGCAAGTTACTTAATCTTTCTGTGTGATTTGCTTTGTTCTATATGATGAGGATAATAGATTTACAGATCTGTACAAAGATTAATTTAGTGAACATTTCCAGACTACTTGGAATAGTGTTCAACATAAGGAACCAGGAGGATTTTATTTTGTTTTTCTTTTTTGAGGGTCTTGCTATGCAGCCCAGTCGCACCTTGAACTTGAAGTGATCCTCCTGATGTCTGTCTGTCTGTCTGTCTGTCTTTCTTTCTTTCTTTCTTTTTTTGAGACAGGGTTTCACTGTGTAGTTCAGGGAGGCATTGAATTCACTGTGAGGTCCAGACTGGCCTCAAACTTTTAGTGATCCTCCTGCTTTTGTTTGTTTTGTTTTATTTTTATTTTGTTTTTTTGGAACAGGATCTCACTATGCAGTTCAGGCTGACCTTGAGCTCACTTTGTAGCCCACCTTGGCCTCAAGGCAATGATCCTTCTGCCTCACCCTCCTGAGTGCTGGGATTACTGGTGGGCACCACCACACCTAGGCAGCTTTTTTTTTAAAAGATAGATTTCTCTGTGTAATTCAGGGCAGCCTTGAACTCACTGTGTAACTAGTTTCATACTCATGGTGATCCTCCTGCCCCAGTCTTCTGAGTGCTGAGATTACAGGACTGTTCCAACATGCTTAGTCTGTTTCAGTTTCCTAAGGACTAGGATTATAGGGTATGCCACCATGCCCAGAAGGATCTAGTAGTGTTGCACATGTGTTAGATATTACTGCATGTATATATTAAAGTTTAGGCACTGTATGTACTACTTTGTTATATAGGATTTGTTTTTTAAATATTAAGTCTAATATAAGCACCTGCCTGGCAAGCACAGGGTCCTGAGTTCAAACCCTGGTACTAAAAATAAATACTAAGTCTAATCCTATCACATATTAAAAAATCTTAATAATGAGGGCAGTTGGGGTGGGGTGCTTAGTGTAGAGCACTTGCCCAGCAAGTGTGAGGCACTGAGTTCCATCTCTAGGGCTGGAGAGAAAAAAATTTTTTATGGTATCATTAGGTTTTTGATGAAATCCAAATTCCTAAGATCTAGATCGTGAGGGATTTTATTTTTTCTCTCTCTCTAAGAGACTTTCTCTCTGTGTACTTCAGGCTGACTTTGGATTCACTTGTGTCCCAAGCTGGCCTGGAACTCACAATAATCCTCCTGCCTCAACCTCCTGAGTGTTAGGAGTACAGGTGTGCTCCATTATGCCTAGCTTCTTGGTCATATTTTCTTAAAAACTGAGATAAAATTCAAATGAAGTTCATCATTGTAGCCATTTTACCTTTTTTTTTTTTTTTTTTTTTGTCGGAACCGGGGATTGAACTCAGGCCCTAGCACTTAGCAGGGAAGCGTTTATTCTACTGAACCATCTCCCTGGCCCCCTATTGTAGCCATTTAAAATGTACATTTTAGTATTTAAAAAAAACTGTAGTCATAATGTGTAACCAGTCATTGCCACTAATTCTTGAAGTTTTTGTTGTTCTGGGGATTGTGTCCAGGGTTTTGAAAATGCTAAACATAAGTGCTATCTATCAATGCACACTACTCATACTAAATCATTTCTGTCACCTCATAAAGGTACCCTTCCTGGATTGAGCAGTCCTCCATTTTCTACTTCCCCTAGGAACTGGCAACTGATTAAATTTCTCTCTTGAAGGATTGACTGTTATAAGAATCATATAATGTGTGTTTTTTTGTAGCTGTCTTGTTTTACTTAGCATATTTTTTAAGGTCCATCTGTTTTGTTTTCTTCTCCTGAGATAGGATCTTGCTATGTAGTTTAAGGTGGCCTTGAATTCACTTTGTAACACAGACTGGCCACAAACTTGCAGTGATCCTCCTGCCTCAGCCTCCCAAGTGCTAGAATTACAGG